TGTCAGAATGATTTAAATGTCTTGGAAGTAGGTTTAATTTAATTTTGAGAAAATTTTTTGACGAGGTATCAAGAAATGAACTGAGTAAAATTAATCCTGAGTGTTGCCAATGTTATTATAAATTAATTTACCTAAAAGGAACTGGCTGTTGATTTAATTTTGGTATCTTTGGAAAAATGAAATAATGTTTAAAATATAAATGTAATTAGGAAGTATTTTGTTTTGATAATCTTTCATGATATGGGCATGGAGTTGATCAAACAAACTAGGTTTAAAGATATCCATTGATTCTTGTTGAACAATATGTTGAAAATTTTACTGTGAATTTATCAGAAATGGATAACACTTTACAATCAAATCGATTACAAAAATAATACCTCATATAATTGTTTGATTTTATTGCGTGTTACGTCATATTGGTTGAATTTAAAAAAGTGTGACGTCAAATTTGTCGTTAAGAAGTGTGACGTCATATTGGCTGATTGGGTGTGACGTCAAATTGGCTGTATATGTGTGACGTCATATTGGCTTGATTGGGTGTAACGTCAAATTGGCTGTATAAGTGGGACGCCAAATTGTTTGAATCTGTCTGGTGATACCTAAATGGAGATATGAAACTTAAGAATATGAGATAATATAAATAATCAGTAGTATCATCTATATACCAGGGTAGAACATATCACGATGTTTAGGTTTTATTTCACCCTAATCTAAATAAGACAAACACTGCCACAGAGACAAGAGATTAGCTAGTAAAAGATCAACAAGATTGGGTTTCAGATCTCATGATGTCGTGTTTAGTCTGATAGTGCCACATTTTTTTAAATAATCAACACCCTGCAAATTATGTTATCATATATCAAATGTTATATATTTAAAAATCGTCTGACGAATAAAAGTTTTACGTCTTTCTATCCCATTTAGCGCTATCAATGGAGACATACATGGATATCAAATAAAACGGAGAGAACCTACAGCTATGGACTGTATTTCAGATGAACCTTTATCTAAGTATGACGAGTTTAACCTTGACTATAGCCACAGAGAGTTCACATATTTGTAAGATATCCAAACAACATGTGTTAGTAATTCCACCCACTTTCTAGAAATTGGTGTCATATTAAAGGTAAAATAGTTTTCATGTTTCTGTAAAATTATATAATATGTATTTAATAAACCTCTAGACTGGCGTGTTTCAAGGCATAGTTTGGTTTGTTGATTCTGGACTAGCATGTTTCAAGGCATAGTTTGGTTTGTTGATTCTAGACTAGCGTGTTTCAAGGCATAATTTGGTTTGTTGATTCTAGACTAGTGTGTTTCAAGGCATAGTTTAGTTTGTTGTTTTTAGACTGGGGTGTTTCAAGGCATAGTTTTGTTTGTTGTTTCTAGGCCGGAGGTGTTTTAAGGCATAGTTTGGTTGATTGTTTTCGTGTTTCTGTAATAATATGTTTTAGACTTGTATGTGTCAATGTATAGTTTGTTCCTTGACTAGAATATTTAGGTAATTTTCAGTACTTTTGAAAAAATTAAATGAGCATGAATAATATATTATTTTCAATAATTTTTAATATTTCTCTAATTTCAGACAAGTAAAGCAACCTAAATTACTCTTAAATACGTTGTTACGTTGTTCTATAACCACATACAAGTAATTGTATGAAAGAATACTACATTTTTTCGTGTAACTGCCCCTTTAAGTCAATCGATACTAAAAGTAGGTAATAATATATATATATATTGCTATAATTACTAGAAATCGATATCAATATCATACTATAACTTATAATACGGTCGATTAATGATGACCAGCATTAAAGGGACTCTCCCGTTAAGGCATACATACCTGATAAAAGAAATCCTTTTCTTACGGATTAGAATAGGGGTTTTAAAATGGCGGTCTATAACAAGAGAGGCTTTCTGCAGTCTAAAGGTTAATTTGACGAATGTTCCAGACTCAGGTGAATACCCTACTGTGAAGTGACTGTACTAAAAATAAAAACTAATAAAGAAAAACGAAACGAAAGTTGGGTCTAATTTTAATAAGACTGGGTTTTCTGTGGATAAAAATAAGCCAGAAATTGATGAATGGGTAAAATTATGAAGACTGGTGATAATATATATATGTTCAGTAGATATGATTTAAGTGTCTATTTCTTGTCCGGTTAGTAAAAAATATATCGATATTTCTGGACAAATAAATTGGATAATTAGTGATAATCATAATATAATATCGTCAGCTGATAATTACACCAGACATGTCTAGTTTCCCGCCACTTTACAGACGTCAAATATTATTGTCTATTACAAATTGATTTTGGGTTTCATGACGTCACAAGTATTGAGATAATGGGCGCAGTACAGTAGCTTGCTTCTGTAGAAATGTACTATATATCCAAGTGATACCGGTGGTGCTGTCAGTCCGTCTTTCCAGCTAAGTTTCGCAAACAAGTGTTTTCTGTCGACGAGATCATTCTGCTATTAGCTCTAAGCTCTTGGGCTCAAAGCCTAAAATTGTTAGAAATTTGGGGTTTGTCAACTCACTATCTCTTACAGAGAGTCCACATAATTACAGGTTTGTCAACCCAGCATCCCTTTCAGTGAGTCCACATAGCTAATAATTTTTGATTTTTTCGCTCTTAATATAAGCACCAATTGCAATGCACTAGAACACTAACACGACCTATACTTCAGTTATGATTTGATAAAACAAATTAAATCGCACTGCACTGGAGAATTACTCGACCAATTCTCTGCTAGTAATTTATTCCGGCCGAATTAACCCTCCTGGTCGTTATTGGGTTAATAAACAACGAAAACAACTCAAAATTGTCCCATTTATATTCTAGTTTTCCTTCTTATAAGAAGACAATTTGTAAATTGAAGATTTATAGAAATATCTGGTTGAAAACTGCATGAAATTACAACCTGTACAAACTTAAAGGGAACATCAAAAATTAAAAGTTTTCCTATTTTGTATGTGCATGGAAAGGGTCGAAACACTGAAAATTGGACATGGCTATGTGAACTACCTAATAGGGTAACCTAATCACCGAATATATTATAGTTTTAACTAAGTAGACTAACTACAAAAGTAATGTTGACTCTCTCGGTTTTCTAATTGTAAAATTGTGAATCTTGCCTCAATAAGATTGGAATGCAACTATGTTTTTCTCGAGTAAAAATTCCGATACTCCGCGGCTAATCAAAATAACGATGCAGAATGTTTGAACATGCGTTAATTATCGCTTAACATGTCCGACCAACTCAACCTCAAACTTTCATCCAATCAAATTACTCACTCTTGCTAATTATCCCCTAGAGTCACGAGCTATTCACGCGATTTTAGGCAAATCGTGCGCGTGCATTTATGAAGAAAAGCGACAGCGAGAAAGAACGTGATTTAGTGAGATAATTTGTGTATCACGTGACCTGATGACAATAGTTGAGTAATTAATTGCTTGAGGAAATATTTAGTAATGATTTGGGTGTTAGAATATGAGACCGGGTTCGAATCCCCCGGGGTTTAAAAACAACATCTGATAATGAAGTAATAATCAATAAGGCGTATGAATACAACAAGTTTTTCTAGCTTATTAACAAGACATGTTGCACTTGTATTGTCTCGTTACAAGTATGCCTTGGATTGATAAGATTCTCGAACATTCAGAACACTTCTCACTATGATAACGTCAATAGAGACTAGTTAATCGAGTCTATGACATGTGTACACGTCGATAATTACCCCTATGAGTTGGTATCTGAAGGCGAAACAAGCATGTTTTTATTTCTTAGCTGATAACAGTCACTATACATAATTCTTTAACATAACTGTACATAGTGAAAGAGTCATATGCGCCGAAATATCACAATATCCCCCGATAGAGAACTGAAAATTGGTTACGATGGTAACATTATAAAGTCCACATGCTACTATCTTCAAGGAGATATATCCATGTCATATACAATCGTCTTGACATAGCGTGCACGTAATGGACGTAGTGTATAGTCAGACTTGTATGTATGTCCCACAAGAGCGTCATTATGTCCCGACAAAAGAAATATATCATTGAGTTTTCGTTCTAAACCATCCACAAGTTTTAACGTAAATTGCCACAGCATTCCTCCAACAAGAGAAACCAAAAGATCAGTATATACATAAGATATATAATATACGGAATTTAAAAGTGCTTGATTTACTCTGATGTATTTGGGAGGTTCCTTTATATTTAGATCAAGACACATATTGTTGCTGAAGTACATGTGACAGTAGTCTGATTGCTTATCACGGGGTTGGAAATATAAGCTAGATTAAATACAAATCTTATTGAATCTGACACGAGGTTAAAAACCTTCTGGGTGTGTGGGATTATACATGTATTAATTGATAATATCAAGTATTAAATGATTTACCACAGATATCACTATAAATACTGTAATAGTCTCACCCCGTCCGCTATAAAGTGACTCACGACTAAAAACCTTCTGGGTGTGTGGGATTATACATGTATTAATTGATAATATCAAGTATTGAATGATTTACTACAGATATCACTATAAATACTGTAATAGTCTCACTCAGTCTGCTATAATTTGACTCATGAGTGAAAACCGCTCTGTGAGATTATACCCTATTGTACATATCAGCTCTATACCTGTAATTCGCTGTCCTGGTGTAAATCCACTCAATAACAATCTACATTTTCCAGTCCTTTTATTAATTACTGGACTGTTTGACGTAAAACCCCATTTCTTTCTGTGTTAGCAATGGTCATATCTTAAGAGTAGAAAATTTTGCTTGCCTCAATAATATAGCTGTTTTAATGCTTACGACTCTAATAATTTTACATTCATTCCCTTAAACAAATCGTGTTCGAGAGATCTCTAAAACACACTTCCGACACCATATAAGATGATAACATCCATCTTTTATGCCCTTAAGATCTTATATCATAGCTGTTATAATGCTCATAACTCCCTTAAACCAATCTTATTCAACAGACCATTCTATCTTTAACCAATCTTGTTCAACAGACCATTCTATCTTTAACCAATCTTGTTCGACAGGCCATTTTATCTTTAACCAATCTTATTCAACAGACCATTCTATCTTTAACCAATCTTGTTCGACAGACCATTCTATCTTTAACCAATCTTGTTCGACAGACCATTCTATCTTTAACCAATCTTGTTCGACAGACCATTCTATCTTTAACCAATCTTGTTCGACAGACCATTCTATCTTTAACCAATCTTGTTCGACAGACCATTCTATCTTTAACCAATCTTATTCAACAGACCATTCTATCTTTAACCAATCTTGTTCGACAGACCATTCTATCTTTAACCAATCTTGTTCAACAGACCATTCTATCTTTAACCAATCTTGTTCAACAGACCATTCTATCTTTAACCAATCTTATTCAACAGACCATTCTATCTTTAACCAATCTTATTCAACAGACCATTCTATCTTTAACCAATCTTATTCAACAGACCATTCTATCTTTAACCAATCTTGTTCGACAGACCATTCTATCTTTAACCAATCTTGTTCAACAGACCATTCTATCTTTAACCAATCTTGTTCAACAGACCATTCTATCTTTAACCAATCTTATTCAACAGACCATTCTATCTTTAACCAATCTTATTCAACAGACCATTCTATCTTTAACCAATCTTATTCAACAGACCATTCTATCTTTAACCAATCTTGTTCAACAGACCATTCTATCTTTAACCAGAGATCTCCTACACAATGTTTGCATGATGAAAACAATAAAACATCCTGATATAATAAATAAAATAATTAGTGAAGTATTCCATCATCCTGATGATTAGCCGTTGTCAATTTATTATAGACCGATTCTTCACCTAAACTTTTCATGTTAATTCAACATAATTACAACCTTACCAATGATCTACTCATAAAGAACAGAATGATTTCACAGACTTTCGCTCTTTAACTTGTGTCTCAATGTATTTATGTGGTAGAACATTTCTACACCTTTACACCATATGTTATTTCAATTTATAACCAAAACACGAATACATATACATCGCTTTCATTGTTACAACTTCAGATAAACACGTCACACCCGAAACCAGAAAAATTAGAGACAACAGGTTCCCTCTAAATAAGGAGAGTTGTAAAATTCATTGGGATTGTAAGAGATTTTCTGAAATTTGTATGTATATCGAATACACTGATAACACAAATATGCACAATTCCACTAGAACTAAGTGTTTGACAAAGTAATTGCATAAGAATTAGTGACGATTAGAAAACCTCTTTACAATCCCTTTTAAAATATAAATAACTTTACAATAGGAAAACGGAAAACACGTGTATATATAGTCAAGGAGTTATTTACTTCACTTCTGCATTTCATGGTTCGAAAGAGTATCATTTTTTTTATTTATTTCGATCATGGAATTTGGTGTTGCTGTTGACAGCTAAATTTTCATTCTTTGAAGTTTTCTGATTTCTACAGGCTATTGTTACTGGAATAAAGTTCCTCTCAACCTTGTACAGATCTATTCGCTGGGGACTATCTGAACGACGTTTCCGTACTTCACAAACCTAATAATGTTTTTTGATCGATAGTCTCTCACCAAGCAGAACTTTTCGGAATATTTCAATACGCTCATGCTGAACTTTCAATTCCGGGCGGAATTGTCCAAAATAGATAACTATTCATCATTAAGTCACGTGACTATCATAACCTCTATAATGTCCATCAGTGCGGTACAGTAATAGGCTTTGCACTTAAGACAGTTTGGAATCGGAAGAAGAGCAGACTTATGCCATTGTCTTTAAGGGTTTCCCTCCTTATCCACTTCATGGTATTGCTCGTCTGTCTTCATCATCACAGACAGGCGCAGCAAAAAATGTGAACTGTTGAAAGCGAAATTGAAATTGTGCAAATAGAAGCTATAAGTGTACCATTACATATAAATAAACAAGAGAAACGACTTTTTATTCCCTATAAGAGTATATAAATAACTTTACTCTGTGTCTACTAAACCAAATCCAACATCAATAAATGCCGCTCGTTTGATGTTTACCGACAATTAAATTTGACTAGAAATAACTAGTAGAGATATAAGTAAATTGAATTTCTTTTTCTTTACATCAATTATAACTCCATTTTTATTTTTCTATTGGTTATGATTTCTTAACTGGAGTCAAGATAGCTTTTCTAGACTTTCTATGTATTTGGGGATACTTATAGCTTTTATTTGCAAATTTCTGATTCTTTTCCCAATCTTAACCATTCGCTCTAAGTTTTGAGATGGCTTTATATCATTATGCATCTCGCGACAGTCGCTTAGGTGACCGGTGTCTGACGGTGATATTCTTGTCTTAATGGACAATAATTTTCATGATACAGGTATTTCTAATGGGACAAAATGTCCATGACAATGGCGACGGAATGAAAAACGAATATTTGAACGCCATTGAATAGATAATCACTATCGATAGCGCTAGGCTAGGGAAGGGGGTCGGGGAAAGTATGGCTTAAGAGAGAGCTCCTAATGGACTGAATCCTGAATTTTTGATCAGACTTCAATATATATATCAAAACAGACGAAATGAAAACAGGATATTCAAAGTATCAATCAAGACAGATTTATCATCGATAGGGCAGGATGTGAGGGTAGGAAAAGACAACCAGTATGACAAAGAGACCCCTTAAGCCCAATTCCCTGATCAGATATTAGACATCAATATCAAAAACATGAAATGAAAGGTGATAGGACAGGGAGCGAAAGCGTGAGGGTCGGGGAAAGACCACCAGTTTGATTGAGATATCCTTATGCACTTTAGCTTAATGCCTTCATCAGATAAAATACATTAATAACCATTACAAAAAACACATGAAAGGAGAGATTTTTGAACACCAATCAAGACAGATCCATTCCGGATGGAGAAAGAAGCGAGAGCGCGAGGGTCGGGGTCACAACCCAAGCGACTCTTAATCGGTATCTGTAATGTATTTTATGTAAATTATGGAGAGTGGTACACTACGGTATAATAGGGGGGACGTGGGGATATCTCTCTCGATTACTGATACCCCTTTTTACCAGAATAAAGCTTTTTTTCTAATTCATACATGGTTTTAAAGTGACGGGTATGGAATAATTCGCGGTCCAAGACAGTCCAAGACAGATGACCTTGAACAGAAGGTCAAATTTGTTGACAATGTAAACAATAATAAAGAAATAAAATAATTATTGTATGACATGGTCGTGTTTGAATTAATTCTCTCGTGACATTCGGTGAGCTCATCAATCAAACTCGGCCTTTAATCATAAAACACCAACCAAACTTCACCATACTTGCATTATTAATTACATGGATTTTGTCTAGAAAAATCTTTCAACATGTTTTTAACAAAGGAATATAGTCCTTCTAATATTAACTGTACCAACTGATTGGGTTCGAATTCGCTAATAACTTTTTAAATCTAAAATCCGGCATATAGTTCTCCTACAATACAACAAAACTGTAGAAATTGTTACTTCATAAGCGCTAGGAATATAAAGATCATCCTTTTCGTTTATGGTTTTATATTTAAATGAATAAATGCTCTTCAATATCTTATAAAAGGAGGCGAAAATCGAGTCCTGTGGGTGGGATTGGAGAAATGTGATCTCGAATAAATGGTCTGAAAACGTAGTTGTAATATTCTATAGTCCATATAAAGTGTAGGCCTACAGCAGGTCCGTAGCTAGCCCAGAGTCTGAGGGAGAGGGGTTAAATATTTTGAAGAGCGACTCAACAAGTCATTCAAGTCGTCTTAATTTTTCTCCCTAGCTACGAGCCTGGTGTACAGTATAATACTATACGATATTGTGAACACTGAAACAGAATACCTCGATCCTGAACAAATATTCTTGCCTCAGTGATATGACGTTTGAAATCTTTATTCCAAAACCTCAAACGTTATGTTATATTATATATGTATTTTCCTATCAAAGGCCACTTTGTTGCATTTAATTGAATAATTATGCAAATCATCCTGGTGAGAAAATCTTGCACATAATGGCTCCTTTTTATGCAACTTTTCTCACGGTGAAAGATGAATCCTTTAATGAGTTTTAACACAACTAAAAACATATTATCACCTTTACATTCTAAACTAGAAAAAATACAATAAAGCCAAAAGTAAATTAAGAAAAAGCATGATATTTTTTAAAAGGTGTATAAAGTTGCAATGTGTGCATGGCCCATGCGATGAGGTACGGGCATAAAACGTCATGCAAGATTATTTTTCATAATGGCAAGTTAATGTGCATGGTAAGCAAATTTACAGCTGTTTTAGGGTAGGTAGAGCACAGATGATGGGACAAAAACATTCATTCAAATGGGGTCACCAAATATGAAATAACGAAATATGTAATATGAGTTTGGTGACGCCTTAAGTCTTGTATCAAAAAAGCCCCAAATTTAAATCTAATTTTATTGTGCTCTATAGGCACCAAGCTCTTTATGAAATTGTTAAATTTAAAATACTTGAAACTTTTGGTATTTCATTGCGTCAGATTCCGCTTATCTAAGGTCTTGAATATTACAAAGGGTGTAAGGGTTCGAAACCTCCCAAGTGTTGAATATTGAAAGAGTGAATCTTGATCTTGGGTGATAATAGATAACAGTCTTCCCACCTTCTTTGACAGTAGGCGTATTGTGTCAAACAGTTCGAAAATTCAACGATTATCTAAAATCTTAGTATTACGGTGTACAATGGGTATCGGTGTTCGCAAGAGTTTCAACAATTAGGGGAGTATGGTGTGAAAGGGTTCGAAACTATAAAGGAACAGTAACATTGTTACAACTTTAAGGCTATCTAAAATCTTGATCTGCAATATTTATCAGTTATTGAATGTAAAAAGTTTTGGGCGTGGTGTGTCAAAGGGTTCGAAAGTCTGAACGATAGTGAAATAGTTACAATGTTGCATGTTTAAGAACTTGATATTTTGAATTGTGGTTTTATGTGTCAAGGGGTTCGAATCTTTATAAGTTGGAACAGTAACTGATATAATAATTTTTAAAAAATACAAGAACTAACGATCCGAAGTTCAAAACGAAACCCAAAATCCAAAATAACAGCTTGGCAATATTTTGGTAGCAGATAATGAAGGAATATGTATTTTCTCTTATTGTAAAATTTTCTGGAATTTTTTCTACCAAACATATCGGTGAAGAAAAAATCAACTTACGAATCTGATCTCCGGTTCTCTCTTCAATAATTCAATAATCGATAATCCAAAACACAAATCAATCACATAAAATAATAGAATCACAACGTTTCGGAGTGAATACACTGACGCCATTGTCCTATTGCACTGATACTCCTTTAAAAATAATGTACGATTCGGGATCTCATCACTAGAAAACTACTGCCAATTACAAACTGCAATCTAAAAAATAAAATGCAAGTTAGATGAAATGGTATTCAGTAATTAGTACAACAATGTTGATGATATCGCAACGTTTCGGTAGAATTCTTTTAACCGTTATCAATTAGTTCAGGTATGAAATGAATTATATCAATGAAATTGACCTATTACAATCAGGAGAGAAGGGGCGGGGGGGAGGGGTGGTGGGGGGTTTGTCTCACAGGCTTCACTTGCCATATGTAAAATATGGGGGAGATAAATTTTCTACCAATAGTATTTGTATGGTAACAACGTTTCAACTATATTCCCTTAATACATATAATCACAGTTGTCCCAATGTTTGATC